TTGTGCAACTGTGTGTTACGTTTACGTGCGCGCCAAACGACATTTTTAAAGTTGCTGAAATAGCTCGTCTGTATTTCGGTATCCTCGGAAAGGCCATTGCCTTCACAGCCACCAGGACGTCTGCTCCTCCGCGGGGATGACCTGGGGCTTCCTTAGCAATCCGCGTGCTCGGTGCCGGCCAATGTGAGCTGGACTGGCTGCAGCAGGGCCAGAGCCTGGCCAGCACTGGGGATGGTGGCTGAGCCCCGGCACTGCTCTGGCCCCAGCACTGCTCCGGCAGCAAGGTCTGCACCACCACCGGGCTGCCGTCACGCACCTGGGGATGGGGAAACTAGCACTAGGGTGCCCCAGCCCTCCGGCCAGCAGCTGGCACGCAGGGTTTGGCCCCGGACCGCATTTCCCTGGCTCTGTTCCTCCACACAATTATGGAGGTGATAAGTGCCAAGGAGCCCTGCTGCCTGGGGACGGCTGCAGCCCCACGCCAAGGGCTCGTGCCCACGGTCTGATAAAGCCCTGTTGCGGCTCTGGGGCAGGCGGCGAGGGCAGTGCTAACCTGGTTTTGACCCAGTGACTTCGCTGGCAGCATTGCCGGTGCTGCAGCGCAAACAGGAGGCAGTCGGGGCATGGGATTTATTCATCCAGGCAGGTATCACTGGGCTCACTCTCCTCTGGAGAGATCACGCTCCTGCCCAGCCCTCCTCATCCCACCTCTGCACCTCCTGGGGCTTCCCCATGCCTGTCTGTGTCCTTCCCCTGCCCCACAGCCGGCGCATCCCACTCGGGGAAGGAGCACCGAAACACAGCGAGCTTTGAGCGATACTTCCCTGGAGAGCGTGAGTCCTCGCATCGCAGAGAGCCACGACAGCCCTGACCCTGGGTGTTACCCCCTGGCCTCGGTCATGCTGGGATTTGAGAGATTTTTCCTTTGCACCCACACCTGCAATTCAAATTAAATGCAGTGGCGTCCCTGTGCTCTGCCATGAAGGAGGCTGCAGTTTGTTACGAACATGAAGAGTGACTGATAAAGCCTCGTGGCAGCCTGCGGATCCTCATGTGCACAGAATTCCCTTGTGAACAGCTTTGAATTGTAAAATAATCACTTGGCCCCATAAAAGTGTATTGGTCATAAATGAACTTTGTCATCTTTCTGCTAGTTTCTTTGCTCCATAACAACTGCATCATGGACAAACACAATGTGCCCAACAGCAATGGGAGAAAAAAAATATCTTCCAGGAGCCTCATTTAACATTATATTGTATTCTCCAACAACTTAATGAGGCAGCCAGAGCGTCTGTGGGAGCAAACGCCCTACCCAGTGCTTCTCCAGTGCAAGGTGAGGTCTGGGCAGGGACAGCCCCAGCCCCAGCCCCAAGCCAGTTGCTGCAGAGGCTGCTCAGGGAAGCAGTTTTGGGTGGTAATTCCCTGGGCAGGAAGGGTTCCTCAGCCAGAGGCTAAATGTGAATCAGGGGAACCTTTCTCCCCGTGCGTAGCATCCGCAGCATCCTCTAGCAGCCAGTCATGCTTTCTACCTTCCCGTCCTGCTACCTAGGGGTGGGTGGCAGCACACAACGAGCTCTTTAGCTACTTCATAAATTCACACCTCTTGGGTAAATACTATCTGTTCTCAATCATTTGTTCTGTTCATATTATTAACTTTATCCTGCCTGCTCTGTCACACACTCTTTGCTCCATGGTAGTCACCTTCTCCATCAGTGTCTTTGGATGCCTTTTTTCCCAGTTTTCTTTTGGCTCGGTCCCCCCTTCCCTCTCCAGGTCTCTCTCCGGTGGGGTTGCATCTCAGAGTCTCCTTTCCCCAAGGTTTTCACTTACCTTCTCTGCGGGGCTTTCTGGAGAGCAGCACTGATATTGGGCCACCTGCCAAACAGTGCTTTACGCATAGTTTTCACACCCCAAACCCCGGACCTCTCACTCCATGTCTGTCGTAAAGCCGGTGCAGAAATCACGCCCCAAAAGGTACTGCTCCCCTTGGAGCATCAGCTCAGATGCAGCAGGGTATCTAGTGCCTCCTTCTCCTCTCTCCTTCCTGCTGGATTACCCATTCCTCTGCAGGACCAATTCAACCTGATGCTGGATATGAACCAGCTGGGGAAAGCTTAGCCCATTTAGCTTGACAAGCCACTCGGAGAGCAAAATGTAGTTGGCATAAGTAGAAGAATCCAAGTCATTTCCACCCTGACTGGTGGGAATGCAATATTTAGGAGCAGAATTTGAAAAGGGCTCAGCCTGGCACTCAGGTGTGTTGAGAAGGACTTGCTGAGCAGGAAAGCGCAGAGGGCATCTCAGAATAAAACCTGCATCTTCTCCAAATTTTTCTAAAAGAGAGCATCGCTTCTGAGTCTGCAGGAAAGGGACCGAGCAGCCTTCATGCCTCCTGTCCTCTTCCAGTTTTTGTCAGGGGTAGCTAAAAATCACAAAACCAAAGAAACTCTGTGGGAAGGTTTTTATCGGGGTGTCCTGCTACACCTGTAAAGGTGAGCAACAGATTGCTGCACTGAAAGCATTTCCCACAGCAGCCCACACTTCACTTACAAAAAAAAAAAGGGTGCCAAACCAAAACCAGGCGTTTTTAATGGCGATTCAAACCAATGCCCTGCACCACGTCTTCAGAAGGGCCACCCTTTCCTACCGATGTGCTCCGAGTCCCTCAGCTACGTTAGGACTTCACAATCAAAGATCTTCAAAAGCTTTACAGCGACGGCAGCACACCCTCCCGCCTCCCCTCGTGCTTTACTGACCCACGGGCTCAGTAGCCAGAATGGATGGGGTTTGGCTTTGTCTGGCACTCAGCTCCTAATTGGTTTGCTTAACACTCGGCTGCTAAAGTTAGCAGAGGATGAGGAATAAACTGTGCTGGACTAAGGGCAACATCATTAGTGCATCATTAGGAGGGTAAGGACACAGGTCTCCCAACCTCCTGGAGCCTCTTGCTATTTTTGGCTGATACCTGGGGCTTCATATGAAATACTTGCCTCACCACGTTCAGGCAGGTAGAAACCTAGATCAGCATTGCAAGGGACAGCAGGAGGGACACGTCACCGCCGCCAGCCTGCGTCCCTGCCTGCTGCTGCCTGCCGGACCGACGTCTGCCAAACCACGGCAGATGATGGCTGGGGATTTACAGACCACGCGGCAGCAATGAGTCAGAAGAAATGGTATTTAATTATGGTATACATTAAATTAAATGTCATTCTGAATATTGATCTCCAATTCGTGGTGACTTATTCACCGTAGGGCAACTCCTATTAGTCCCAGCAAGGGTTAGGGACCCACTGCGCTAGACATTGTACAGACACAGAGCAAAAGGGCCTTTCTTGCCCAAAAGAAAGCATTCAGTGTTTTTCATTTTAGCAGTGGTCACCCGTCCACGGGCACATCTACTGCTCTCCACCTCTCTAAATCACTCTCAGCAATTGGCACACGCTGCAAAGTTTAAGAAAAATGTACACAACTGGGGAGCATTAGATCCATTTCCGAAGGGGAGCAGGTACGGAGGAGCTCGTGTCTCATGGGAGGGGAGACGATGCCGTTTACAGCTTCTGCAGCTTTGGAGGTAGGACTTGGGCACCTAAACCCCTTCAGGGCTTTGGAGGGTGCGGAGCCCGGTGTCCGCAGCGGGTACCCAGCGGGGATGTGCCCTCACCGCAGAGGTGGGCTCATTCACAAGCTGGAGATCTTGCTGCGAAGCTTTTCCTCCAGGAGCCGCTGCCAGGTGAGACAAGGCAGGCAGCCATCAGGGACCGCGGACCGGCGTGTTCACATCACAGCCCAGCACCCGTCTGTCCAGCTGCAGCTCGGAGGTGACACCGTGAGGACAAGAGCACCGTGTTTATTGATAAGGGTGGAGCCAAGAAGGCTCATCATCAACCTGCTAATGGCTGAAAATAAGCCACCTGTACTGGCCGTTTACTGGGAAGGAGACAAGGCAGTAACTGGGCACCCAGTCCCTTCCACGCCGCAAGGAGGGGAGAAAAGGGAGACAGTCTCTGAACTCCATTTGAGGAAGACCCTATCAGAATTTCTTGCAGCCTAATTCACCTCTGTAGCAGCAAATGCTACAGGCTCACCTGAAAACTGCCGATGCCGAACACTTCCCAGCAGTATGGATGTGCAACCAGGCTGCTGAGCGCTTGCCCACCCCACAACAGTCCACCTCAGAGTCCCCAAAAGCAAGAGAGCCCCTTGAGATCTCTGTAGCGGCAGTTGTCCCCACACGGATGGTCCAGGTCCTGCCGGGGCTCCGCTCAGCTCGCCCTGTGCCCTTCCTTGTCGTGGGATGTCACCGTGCAGAGGACACACGTGTGCCCATCCTCAGAGCAGAGACCGGTGCTGCCAGACCGGCGTCCTTGCATGGGCCCAGCTCTTTCCTTGTGAATTAACTCATTTAAACGAAGAAGAGAAATACAAAACCAAAACCATGCTCAGCTCTGACCTTTACCAAAAAAAAAAAAGGGGGGGGGCGGAGAAAAAGAAGAGATTTGGAAACAATATATACAGATGGGGGAATTGCACTTGATTACAGTAGTTTACATCCATTGGACAAAATTTACTTCTTTTATATAAATCTCTATGTATAGGAGCAGGGAAGGGTGAGGATGGAGCAGACTGTACCTATATTTACAGTTTAATTGGCTCAGTTCAACAGCACATGCAATTCCTCCTTCCAAACACCAAGTAACAGACCCAAGTCCCTCTCAGTCCGTCGAGTGGAGGAGTATAACTTAAATATTATCCATCTTCCCCTTCTGCCAGTCCCCAGTACAGCTTGTTCCTAGTTCCTCGGGAGAGCCAATGGCCTCTTGGAAGGCAAATACTTAAGAAAAAAAATCCCCAAGACACGTCTTGGAAATACTGCGTGGAGGGAAGGAGAGGCATGGTCCCGGGTGGGCATCCCGCGAATCCGAGCTCATCCCCGGCAGGGCGCGGAAGGGCGACGGGGAGTCTGGAGCCTCCGGCTCCGTTTTGGGTTGATGGGCTCCTCGCTGCGACGCTGGGCTTCGCTCTGGCGACTCCCCGGGCTCGGCACGCAGGTCACCGGCGGGATGTTGTGGAAAATAAGATCCCGTTGCTATGTGCAAAAGCAGCGAGGTGTGGAGCATCACCAGGCTTGCAGGGGACACTGGGGAGGGAGAGAACAGCACAGTGACCGGCAGGCAGGCAGCACCACGGGGGGCTCTCTGGGGGACATTGCAAAGCATTTGGAGGCATCACCTCCCACACCACTCTGGGACCTTGGTGGTGCCGCACCAGCCCTGCTTGGCCCCGAGCCCTCCCCAGCACCCCTGAGGGGGAGGCAGTGGGAAAATACTTTCTGAGCCAGATATTGCCACCCCCTCCCAAAAATAATAATAATTAAAAAAGGGCCTGTTTGTGCCCAGGCTGTTGCAGAGATTGTGCCACGCAGCTCAGCAGCGCTGCCAAGAGCAGCCAGGCGTGAGGAGCTTGCGCTTGGGTGGGAGTGGGGCGGGGGACCACGCTCATTGCTGTCCCCCAGCGTTGCTGTCACCTCCAGGGAAGGAGCTGAGCAGCCCCTGCCGCCGCATCAGTCCCACCGCAGCGGCCCCTTCTCCATCCCTCGGGGTGGGTCCCCCACCCGGGGTCCCCCCAGTCACCAGCGGGGTGGGGGGCCGGGAGTCGTGGGTGACCTTGTGGGCTGGAGCGCACAGCAAACATCGTAACGCGGAGATAAGGAGACGCCAGGAGCCTCCCGTGACATGTCATTAGGGACGGGCCGCGGCTATCAGGTGTTTGCTAACGTAATAAAAATGGTGGCTCGGCCTCAAGCGTTGTCAAAGGAACCGCGAGGTATTTGCCCCTTCCAGGTCTAAACAACAACATCTGATAAGCGATCTGCAGCATCGGGCTGTGAGGGAAGAGCCGGGGGGGGACCAGGGGTGTCCCTCCAGCCTCCATCCCCACCGGCAGGACCGGGAGCAGCCGGGCTCCGGCAAGGAGCGGGTTTGCAGGGTCTGGCGTGGAGGCTGCGGGGTGCAGAAGAGCTGCCAGGGAATGACAGAGGCTTTGCTTCGCATGAGGATGCCTCTCCTCTTGCAAAGAAGGGGTTGCTCAGGAGCAGCAGTGCGGCCCCCTGGGCTTGGGGTTTCGTGTCGGCTTTACAAAAATATTTGGGCATTTGAGCCATTTTGGGGCTGAGCAGCATTTACAGGGCCCCCACGCCACCTCTGTAGCACTTCATTCACCCCTTGCTAATGAAACAGGCAACCACTGAAAAAAAAAAAATCAGTGTTCAGGGATACATTTTTGCAGCTTTAGGAAAAGAGGCCCCAGGGGCTGGGAGGCTGCACTGCGGGGGACATGACCCTCGTGCCCACTCCAGCTCTGTGCCGGGGGACAGGGGTCAGATCCTGCCCCTGGTGCTTGCAGGACCAGCCCATGCTTGTTTGTCATGCACGGAGGGCTAACGGGGTGGGTGCGTGCCCCTTTGGCATTTTGCACCCATCCACAGCGGCAGCTGCTGGGGCCCGGTCCCATCTCCCCCCTCCTGAGCTGCGAGACCTCCTCCTGCTTCAATTAAAGAGCAAAAGCGTGATGGAGGGAGAAAACCGAGGGAGCCCCCATCACCCGGGGCAGTGCCGTGTCAAGGTAGGCTGACCGCAGCGCCTGGCCGGGCAGCGGGGATGACCAGGCGCTATCTCCCTGCCAGGGATATTTCCTGTGTGCCCAGGGCTCCTTTCGGCCAGCCCGGCATCAAAGGCAGCCCGTGGCGGGAGAGCACAATTAATCAGGGGGAGTTCGGGCTGAGCGCACACCAGATGGGCTGATAAAGCCGCACGGAGGAAATGGTGCTCCCGAGGAGCGCGGCCGTGCCTGACCGCCTCCCGGACCGAGATGCGCGGGCGCAGATAAATGGTCGCCCCCAGCACTACAAAGCACGGGAGCCCGACCCAAGGTGGGGGCGTTGGTGTTCATCACCCCTTCCCGGGCACCCCAAACCCCCTGGCAGCCCCTCTCCTGACTTCTCCCCTTTGCAGCCCCAGCCCCTTCCTTTGCCCCCCGCCAGGCACCCACGGGGGGGGTCTCACAGCAATCCCACACCATATTTACTCTGTGGTCATTGCAGACATTTTTTTCCTCTCCCCTGTCAAACCTCAGTAAGAAAGTTTATCTGAATGCAAGTTCAAGGCTCTCTCTTATTTATCTAGCAATCAATAAGGGCCACATATTTCCCACAGTCCCCAGAGCTGGCTTTTAGAAAGGGACTATTGTCTGAGTAAGGCCTCGCACACCTGATTTGAACCAGGATAAGTCCTGCCTTACACCTGCACCGGCACTGGGCAGATGATAAAGATTTACGGGCGGGGGGAGTCGGGGGGGCATCAGAGCCTGGCTCCTCCCTCCGACTCAAACCAGGGTTGATTCACCCTAACCGCAAGGGCAGCAGAGCCTGCTACCGGCACTGGGCAGATGATAAAGATTTACGGGCGGGGGGAAGTCGGGGTGCATCAGAGCCTGGCTCCTCCACTCGACTCCAACCAGGGTTGATTCACCCTGAACGCAAAGGCAGCAGAGCCTGCTTGGTCCTGACCTTCTCAGCCCAGTTTGAACCCCAGTAGGATGCTCCCATGCTGATGAAGTTGTCCCAGGGATGAGTATGGCCTGGCTGGTACCACCAGGAGTTAGACAAGTCCTCATCCAGCACACCCAGACCATGACCCAAATCCCCATCATGCTTGCCATCTGCAAGCGGGTTTTTCGGTGCCCGTGAAGGGGCTGGGATGGGGTTCTCAGTGCCCTGAGGCTCGTCCTCAGCTGCCCACGCGGGTGCAGCACAGGCAACGGGACGGGGTCTCTGCTACACCCTCCTCCAGCCCCATCTCCAGGGGAGAAACAGCCCCGCTCCACCTCCGCACGCCCACCCCTGCACACCCTCAGCCACATCTGCCTGGCGTTACCTGCTTACTGGAAGACATATTGGTCAGCGTGCTGATGCTGCTGGTATCCGTCACCACCATCGCCGAGGGGAAGCGGGAGGTGTGGGAATACTGGGGAGGCTCCTGTTTGTGTGCATACACTGCGGAGAGGAGGGAGACAAACAGCCGTCATGGAAAAGCCACCCACAGCCCTCACACCGGGGCAGAGCAGCCAAGTGCTGCGTTATGGCAGGTCGCAGGGGTGCTGGGTGGGAACAAGCATCACGGAGACACGAATGAGATAAAACAGGCCACAGAAAGAAACCACCGCCTGCCTCTAAGCCACCACTTTCTCAGCTACCAGCTCGCCCAGGGAAATCACTGGGGACTGAAGGGCTGTGGCTGGACCAGACACTGGTAGCTCTGCAGAGCCCGGTGCTGGAGCAGGGATGGGGCCGGGATGATGGATGAGCACGAGGGGTGAAGCTAGATCCCTTCGGGGCACAGCGGGGAAGTGTTTGCTTTGCAGGGATTGCAATAGGCCCGGCCACCTCCTTCAGCAAAGCATGTGTTTTAGCAGTAAGAACACAGAAGGAAAAATAAAGTCCTTACAAAACACTGCTGGGGGCTGCATCCCCCCCATGGGGCAGCAGCGGAGCGGTACGGGAGATGTGGCACGGTGGATAGCACAGGGGAAGGAGAGGATGAGGTAGGATGTGGCCACCCTGCACCGCTGTGCATCCCGCTCGCAGCCCCGCGCCGGCTGGTACCCACGGGAGAGAGGCGGCAGCCAAGGGTGCGAGCTTGGGCAGGGGAGAGCAGTAAGCACAAGCTTATTTTCCATCTGAACTCATTTTCTGGGCCCTTCCCATCTCAGCTACCGCCTGGACCCTTACTGTGCGAGTTCTGCAGCTGAGTCACGGTGGCCATAAAAGGCTGCTGCGTCATATGGCTGGGCGACTGCTGCATCAGCGGCTGCTGGTGCGAACTGTGGAGCTGCTGGGAGAACTGGACCGGCTGTAGAGCTGCCAAACTGCCAGCAACACTGTTGATAACAGGTACGCTCTGCGCCTGCGAGGTGTTCAGACCTGGGAGGAGGGAGAGAGCAGAACGGGGACGTCAGCACTGGCGCAAGCGGGCAGGGCGTCCCCCTCCCCGTCGTGGGAGCGGGGGGGGTCCATGCGGGGCGCGGAGGTGAGCTCGGGGCACGCGCTTACTCTGTGCGATGGCCATGACTCCCGAGAGCGGCGTCATGATGAGGTTCTGGGACTGCTGTGGGTTGTGGTGCGACAAGCTGTGGATGTTGGTCAGGGTGCTCACCGGGGGCAGCCCGCCCCCCGAAACGGAGATCTGCCAAGGAGGAAGGCGGGACAGCCACCATCAGAGGCACAGCCAAGGGATTCAGCTGGGATACTGGGAGGAGGGGATCAGCAAAGCCCCCTCCGAGAGGCGAGCGGGCTGCAGCCTCGCTGGGGCACCTCCAGTTCAGCGCACACAGCTCCCACCGCCCCAGGGCTGCAGACCCTGGCTGGGACGCCTGAACCTCGTGTTAATAAATAGCAAAGCAGCAGCAGTGAAGGACTTTGCTGGCACTGGCTTCCAGCTCCACCGGACCACGGCACATCCCAAGCATTTGCCATTTCGTCCCTCAAGTCCAAGCTCCTGCTGTTGGGGACAGCTGAGGACTCAACATTCATTAACTTGTAACCGTCACGGTTGTAGAGGAAAGTGGGAAATATAAACTCGGGAAGTAAAAAAAAAAAAGACAGAAAGCAGGTAAAAAGGGCCTGATGGTGATGATCTTAGTCACCAGTTTTGCAGATGGGCAGCACGCTGGTGAGACAGGCCGGGTGCGCTCAGCCAGAGCCAGTTCCCAGGATTTCAGGTCAGTGTTTAGGGATCAGACACATAAAGGCACTTGAAGTGTGCTGAGAGGACCGGAGCTGGTCCCCAGGACAAACAAGGGGCTAAATGCCTTATTTCTTTAATTGCTGCACATTCTCCTAATCCCTCTCATTAGACCTCTTGCACTGAGCAACCTTGGTCCAGATTCAGAGCCATCCTTGCAGCTCTTCATGTGACGCTTCTGGACACCAGTCCCAGCACCTTGTTTATTTTGCACATGTGAGTTGAAGATAGCCTCGCTGCAATTGAAACAAATCCATCAATAAATTCCAAAGCCCAGGAGTGACTCATATTTCCTGATCCGGTATTTTCCACTTTCAAAGTCTCTTCAAGGCCAGGTTACACCACACTCGGCTGCACAAGTCAAACAGCTCACGGCGAGTGCACGCCGCTCGCCTGCAGCCTGGGCTCCTTTCATGGGGGGTTTAGACCCAAAGCACTGCACCCAAAATCACCTCTGGAGATTGCATGACTGGAAAAGACCCTGCAGCCACTGGACCCTCAGGAGAGACACTCTGGCACTACCACGACTAAGGGCAACACTGGAGCATGAAAGAGTGAACCACCAAAGCTTTCTGCAGCCTCAGTAATGCTCCTCTCTGAAAAAATCGATTGCCTTCAGATGCAGCAACTTCTTTGGCAGCTTTTAGTTTCATATAGGGTATTAAAGGCACATGTTTACTTACTAGAAACCACAGCCTACAGCATATTTTTATTAAATCGCTTGCAAGCACTAGCTAGCCCTGCTTAAAGATCAGAGATAAGCTGGCAGAGCTGCATGCTGCCGAGGACCTGAGCGGTCCCTGACGGTGCTGTGCAGTGTCCGTGCAGCGGGGATAATTCGGCAGGGCTTTTGCTGCCGCACGCCAGCGCCTACTGCACTTCAACAAGTTGCTTTTCCCAGTTTAATCCGCTGCATTTCCACGCAGCCTTCTCCCGGGCTGCCTGGCCGCTGTGAGCTCCCTCTGCCCCATCCGAGGGTCCCTCCCTGCGCTCCTGCAAACCCACCCCTCAGACATGGCCCCTGCAAAAGGAGCTGGCAGGGGTTGCTGGCAGCCTCTGCCACCGAGCTCTGCATCGCTTCGTCCTCGTGGACCCCCGCCCCGGGCACTCAGTGCCTGCTGCTGCTGCTGCCTTTATTCCTGACTCATTTTATGACTTCAAGGCTCAGGGTTATAAGGCTCAACACACCCCTGAGGAGATACGGGCACGTTCGGGGTGGAGGGAGTGTGCTGGAAGGGCTGGGGTTTTGCTCTTCAATATCCTCCCTGCTTGGCTTTGCAGGGTCAGCATCCGAACCCGAGGGGCTGCACAGAGACCCTGGCGAGCCAGCGCCAGAGCACGGCAGAAGGAAAGGCAAAATTAAACAGTGCCATAGCTGAGGGAGGGGATGCCAAGCCCCTCTGCAGCCACCCAGCTTTGCGAGGAGACGGACACAACAACCCAAGAGGGCCAACCCTCCGAAAATGGAAGTGAAAACCGAGAGAGAGCGGGCTCGGCCCCGCCGCCCAGTGCCATGTTTGA